CATTAATGACTATGACTTAATTGAAAGTCTCATTGACTAAGGCAACTAATAGTGAATAGAATTTGACGTGAAATTTCCAGATGGTTTAAACACCATAAAATTTCAACTTTTTGTAGGGTCAACTTGTAAAGTCCACTTTCAGGACATTGAAGAGTGGAAGAGTCTTAGTCACCAACCTTATCATTTGTGTAAATCTTCTGTTGAGCTTTAAACTGGTATATTGTCAAAGGTGCTAAAATATCTAACAGAATTTATAAATGAAGCTATATCGTACTTTTCAACGAATTAGTTAATCTTCAATTTGTTAGATCAAACTAAGGTTTACTTTGGGATTATGCAGGCACCATAAATGATTACCATTTTAAGGTCAGGTGAAATTCGAAGTTCCCTCTTTCTGCTCCTTAATTCTGCAATCTGCAGCTCATTATTTGGTCATCATTTGGCCTAATAACCATAACAAGGTGGTCATTGCTTATAAATTCGGGTCTATCGGAGGGTCCGAAATGGCGTCCTTCCAACAACATTACTTTTAGTACAAAATTTGTTCGTTTAGAGGTTGCAGCAGCAGTTGCACCAATTCCCTTTGTTTTCGTTAAAATTTCGTTAGCTCGATGTTACATTGCATCGTAGAAACTTTTATCGGTACAATTTTCAATCAGTACGTTCTTTGTTATCTCAGTCTAGTGTTGTAAATGAACGGGATCAGTGTGCTTAATTCGTATCCTTAATTGGGCCAAGGAGATATGCTGAGCCTATTACGTTAGTTCATTCTTTTCAACAAAATAAATTGCGCTAGCAGTTTCCCCAACATTTAAATGGAAAATATTATCTTGTTTGGTACCAGCATAAAAACTAGGTCGCTTTTATAGGCTCCCCAAACTTTACTTTTCTTTAGTAATAATATATTCACCTTAAGTCACTTGAAGTAGATTTCGACGAATAATAGTAGAATTACCCTATAATAAATTGACTAATACTAACTGTACCAAGAAATTACTTATTTTGTTATGGTAGCTCATATATATAGTATTAAGTTTGGAGAGACTAGAAAAGCGACCCGGTTGGTTTCGCCAGCTTTGAGAGAGTGTTTATTGCTTATTACTTAATAATATTGCGACACAAAATCAAAAAACTATCTTCTAGTGAAATAGATTCATAAACAGCTCTTAAACTAATGCTATATTCATCTTAAGTCACTGAAGTAGATTCGGACGAATAAAAGTAGAACTACCCTAAAATAAATTGACTAATACTAATTGTACTAAGAAATTACTAATATTATTATCGTAGCTTATATATATATATATATTATTAAGTTTGGGGAGCCTAGAAAAGCGACCCGGTTGGTTTTGCCAGCTTTGACAAAGTGTTTATTACTTTGTACTTAATAATATAACGACACAAAATTGAAAAACTATCTTCTAGTAAAATAAATTCATAAATAACTCTTAAACTAATGCATTTAATCTTAACGAAACTAAAAATATAAATAAAACCTAGTTGCCTCTGTAGCCAAAACACGACAAGTCTATACTCTGCTATGTTTAGATCAAAGCATGAGAGAATTGAAACACTCTTTTATGGGGCCATATTTGGCATTTACCGGAATAAGACTATCACAACTATTCCCGCGCTCTCTCTCTCTCTCTATATATATATATATGGCCTAAAAGCTAATTTACAAGATATGGAGACTTCACTGGATTAAGGAAGCAACGGAAAGAAACAAAATGAACAATATTGTGGCATGATTTTTCATTTCGATGCAAGAGTCGGTTGGAGGGAATTCGTGATGTGGTTTTACCGGAAACCAAATGGGAATTGCGGCGTAGGGAATAACTTTTTATTGTGCAAAATGTCCTCGACCCACCATCCTGCAAGCCCAATGAAACTGTT